ACCATAATGGTACAAACTTCTTTATGGTACAACAAAAACTTATACATTTAATGTTATGTTACAACTTCAAGTTGTACATTAAAGCAACAATACTATATAGCATAGTAGAAGTGCTCACAAATATAATATAGCAAAGTTGGAACAGTTTGTCTGTATTTCAAATTTCCTGTAATGGTAGCGAAAATAGGAATAGTAGATTTATCTTCACAATTATTTATCTATTTCTTATTCATAAAGTGAAAATACATTAATCTCGGAATTTGAACCATGACCTCCACTCTCATCAAACTAAGACAACAATAATTACCAATTACACTAAACAAAAACTTTATATTTTTTAAATTAAAAATACGCAAAAATCTAAAATCTGGAAAAATCCTAGGACTTTTTCATCACGGTTAATTAGCTCTCTAACTCTCCCATAAGTATTGCTGTAGTGTTTGATATTTGATTTTCATATTTAGTACTTTATGGTTGGGTCTTTAGTAGGCATCTTGATAGAAATTAATCGTTTTATTATTTTAATCGAGTTAAATAATAAATTTAATTATTGTATATCTTATAAATAGAGAATAATTTTAAAATTGCAACTCAAATATCATTGGTTCGAATAATTGCATAATTACTCTACAATCTCTATTTGACGGATCGTTTGCCTCTAGTGTGGTTAATTCCAACGAGTATTGAATTGCATAATCAAATGCGCATAAGCGATGTAGAATTCTTAACTTAGTATTGATCTTTAGAACTACCATAAAGAAACAATTTTCTGTGCAAACTACAAGTGGCCAGTTGATAATCAAACATGATTTGACCCATGAGTGAGTTTAAAAGAACACAATTTAAAATAAGGATGATATTTAACTACAACCTGGATTGCATGCTCTACCTACAACCTCCCCACATGGCGCCATTTTATTGGTTGATTTCTTTTATTTTTATCTTTCTTAATTTTGCATTAAAATGGCCCATACAAGTGGCCGTCTCACGGCAAATTATATAATTGGTCATTAATTCATTAAATCATGTAACTAAGCTAAATTTAATTGAAAACAATATTTTATGATTTTGATTTTTCAAAATACATCCAACATGCTAGATGCATCATTTTAGGGCATGCATGTTGAAGTTTACATAATTAGGATTTAGGGTTCACTCACTAAGGATTAACATTTTGATTCGTTAAATTAGTCGGAGTTTGAAAAATTGTACTATATGTATATCATAAGCCCTTACATAAAAAATACCGTAAGCCCTAATGAGTGAAATTCAAACCCTAATTTCTTAATCATATATGTTAAGATCAATTAATTAGAATCGATAACAAATGGTTCTGATTTGTTGAAATACATACAACGTTAGCGTTTAGGATGGGCGTTTTTTCTTCTTAGTATTGTAATACATATTTGTTGACGTATTATTAGAAAAGGTGAACAATTTACTAAAGTGAAAATTAACTAATTATGCCATTTGGCGTTACTCTACCACTTATGTTAGCCATTTTAATGCAAACTTAAGAAAATAAAATGAAAGGAAATCAACCAATAGATTGATTGCCTCCGTGTTGGGAGGTGTTGGGAGGTTGTAGGCGCTCCCAGCAAACTAGGTTACAGGTAAATATCATCCTTAAAATAACCAATTTTATAGATTATTTCACTTATTTAATTCTTTTATCTTATAGAGTAATTAACCATATGTATCATTATTATTTAGTTTTAATATGAATTAACCATAGTAAAAGGCAAATAATGAAATCGGGTTGGAGTTTTCATGGATGCATTGATGTGGTTAAATGCATTAGCAGAGTGGGTACCTAATAGAGGTTTAATTTTATTTGCTGAATGAATAAGATTGTCATTAACTAAATTTCTAAGTATGTGGGTACCTAATAGAGGTTTAATTTTATTTGCTGAATGAATAAGATTGTCATTAACTAAATTTCTAAGTATGTTGGTTGACAAACATTTTTATGACATTGAATATGGATGAGTAATACTATTTCTTATTAATTTTGTTGTTGCATGGTTTAGAATATTTTAACGGTCAATTTTTGTTTCATTAAATCAAACTTTGGGTTGAGGTTTAGAAAATCGGTGCCTGCAGTTTATCCATTAGAGGTTAGGGTATAGTATCATACCCCAAACTCGATTTAATTCATGATCTAGATATAGATATCCACTAGTAGTACCTGACGTATAGTATACGCCTGACGTACGCCAGTCTGACCCATATATATATGGGGAGTTCTACAGTACCCCGGGTGAAATTCGAGATACCGCATACATTGAGTAAGAAAACGCTATCCAGAACTTGAATTGACTGCTCTTTCGGACATGATACTATACTCTAACCCATAAAGATCAAAATCTAGGTCTTAATTCTCTAAATATTATACCCTGAGATCAATTTAATTAGAAACATTAATCGACGGTTATGATTCGCCCAAATATAGGCAAAAAAATCAATGCACCATCTTAGGGTTTATAGTTTTGATTTAGATAATTAGGACCTAGGGTTCACTCATTAAGGATTAGGGTATATTATCATGCCCAAAAATCCTGCTAAGAGATTGGTTAAAATGACCAATAAGTTTGATTTAGAGATGACAACCCATTTATCAATAAACACGTGGCCATTCTAAAACTTTCTTTCAGTTCTTAGTGTCTCTTGGCCTTCTGCTGCTCTACTCTCGTGGATGGTTTTAATTGATTAATCCAACTTTCCTCTCGATTTTCGTATGGAGAGAAGAGAACATACAATCATCTCTTGCTACTTCTTCGATCTCCTCTCCTCTTCTTCTATCATGATTCTCTTCATCCCTTCTTCGAGTGTGGTGTGTGGCGACATGCAAGACTGTGCTTCTTTTGACTTTTTATTAATTGCCTGCATTTATTGTGGGCAACCATACCCACAAGTTGTGGATAGTGGATTGAGTGTGGGTAGAAAAAAAATGATTTTTACGGTTAGTGGTTACCCACTATCCACCGCGGTCAACCCAAACCCCATAATAACCACATTAATTATATTTATGTACTAATAATACTTTATAATAGAATCGTATGTGAAATTGGGAGGCTAAAAATTAAAGTAGCCACCAAAATAAAAAACGCACCTAAGCAATTTTATGTGAGAGTTTTTTACTTTATGAGACACTATAATCGAGAGAGTGAAGAATAATCGATTCATTAAAAGTGAGCACATTTAATAACTTTTATCGTTATTTTTTCATTTGTGTGAAAGAAAATACAAGGTCATATTTAATTGTCATATTCCACCCTTAGTCGGTGAAATCTGAAATCACAACTTCCTGACACAAAAATTGAATACAAAACTCGAAAATAAAAAAATTCTACATTGAGTAAGATCGATATACAAAATTATATCTCGACGAACAACACAATGGTATATCCAGTGGCGGAGGGAGGGATTGGGGACTGGTGTCCCAGGACCCCACTTGAACAATTGAAGGGCAAAAATTTCCAATATGTATGGATTTCACGAGGGGCTTAAAATTCAGGACCCCATTACATTTCTATTTTTTCTTTACCCTAAAATCCAGGACCCATTGTGTTGTATGCAACTCCACCAAATGGACAAGAAGACTAATTTGAAAAAATTATTTTTAAGCTATTTCTAAATATTAAAGATGACATCACGATTATAATTATTGTTTTAAAATCCTAATCGAAAAGAGGTAATGCTATTCTTTTGTAACTCTCTCTCCATTTCAGAATCCTAATAGAAAGAGCTCCTGGAACGGGATGATAGGTTCAATTGTTTAAAGGGAGTATAGATGAGCTGAGTAGAAAGATGGTAGAAAGAGATAAACCATAATTACTATCCATTAGTTTATGGGTTATAGGTATAATATGTCGTTCTATTATACATTTTTATCATACATGTTGCTCTATTAATTTCTACATCAAATATGCTCATGTATTTTAAATTTTTTTTTTATAAAACATTGTTTAAATTTTCATCCAAAAATTGTCAACTACGATCAAACTGTGGTTCGCACGACCTAATCTCAACAAAATTATAGGAAAAATGTTAGTTTTGTCCCATCATTTATTTTTCTAAGTCTCATTAAAGTGAAATTACTAATGGGAGTGGGCTATACAAAAGAAACAAAAAAATGCTTAAGTGAAATTATTATAGATATTTTAGATATTTTTTCCTCACAAATTAAACCAAGATTCGGTCATGGTTGACAATCTTTGGATAAAATTTTAACATAAGGGCATGTTTCATAATTTTTTCAAATTACATGAGCATGTTTGATGTAAGAAATAGTAGATGGATATGTTTTGTAAAGTTGTATAGTAGAAGGGCATATTGGGCTTATAACTCAAGCGTTGAAAGGTCATTTTTAGTTATGCATCACAAACAAGTTTTCAAATCCAATAAGTGATGAGTAGCTAAACAATTTTTTGGCAGGACAAAAGACCTGTTTAATATTGTAGACCGTGAATGAGTTTACAATGTTTTCAAAATATAAAATCACGTTGTGACTCGTTGTAGAAACAAACAGATGTATTATATTAGTAAAACATCGAAATTACGTATATAATTTCATCAATGTATTTTTAAAATTATTTTATCTTTATATTATTAATTTGTTTTATAGGACCCAATCAACTCAAATTCTGGCTACGCCACTGCGGTGCGGGGTGTAGGTGTGGGTAACATAATTGTAAAATTGTGGGTGAAAGTACCCGCAAAATGTGAAGTGCGCAACCACACCCACCATAATTTCCACCCCTACTTAACAAGACAATGTTTACAGTTGAATGTAAATAATCTCTTATTACATATCAACACACTTTTCAATTAGATTAGATTATGTTTTTTTTATGTATTCGTTGTTAGGGCATAACTTTTATTGTAATTTTTTCCTGATTTGGCTGTCAAAGGGGCTTAATAAGATCTATTAGTTAATAGAGAAATTTTTATATCTCGCATGATAGTCATTTGAAATGTGAGGAGTTTATCATTTGTTATCAGATTGACCAATTTTGTTGATAGCGCATATCCCGCCCACCAATGAATTTCGGCAATTGCATGCTTGACTGCAGACCACTTGACCTAACGACTCTGAAACTTACATCGCAACAATGTTGCGCTAAAGTGGAGGTCAGCAGTCAACACGCCATTTCTCCATATGATTGCACGCCATTATATTGCTATAAGTAATCTGTCCTTCTGATATGGATATGGACACAAAATATGCAAGAAACAACAGGAAGAACCAAAACCCACTCTTCCTTGCTTCGCCACTCACCAGTCACCAGCACTGGCTAAACACATGCTGCTTTCTTTTGTTTCACTTTACTAGTATATACTCAACTAGATGAACACTTTTGGGAAACGAACAAACAAATTTACCACCACAGTACATAATATTGTTTTGTAATCATATAAATAATAATAAACCTGCAACAAGGCATGGAGCTCCATCCCCTCTCTACCAAAACCCTAGCAACAAACTTGCCACCTTATCTCAAAGGTACACCAAAAACAATCTGTTACCAACTTTATCATCATCCCTCACTCTGAAACCTCTTCCCTAACTTGGCTAGACAAAATCTGCGTCCGCTTTCTGCAAGTAAAATAGAATTACTCACAACAAATGCATCCGCTCTACATAAGATTGCAGCAGCCACTTATTAAGCGGCTCACCACACCCAACAAAACACCCTGTGTTGCCATTCACCGTGAAGAATGGGAAACTGAACATGTGCAGCAACTCCTGCACTGCCTGCCTCACCATCGAAGCACCTGTCACCCTGCTCCTCCGTCCCCACCCGGTCACTATATCGATCCGACTCGGTCCAACCCCGGACAACATCATTTCGCGGCGGAACCATGCAAGCGTCCTGGACAAGGCCGTGACAGCAGTCCCATCAGACATCACGTGCAGGTTGATGAGCCAATAACAAGAGCTCTTCTCTCTAACGGCATCTGGGTACACGTTCTTCTGAGCAGCAACCTCCCACACTAACCCAGCTTCCTCCTTCAAACCGGACTTGTGAAGGAAATCTACAACAGCATCAACTAGCCCCCTCTTGCTCTCTCTGTCTTCACTCCGCATCATATCCAAGAACTTCCCAACATGATCTCTCACGTTCTGACCATCAGCTCCAGCAGAAGGCATGGACAGCAGAAACAGATGTGCAGGATGGCCTGTGGTTGCCATGAGGTCACAACAGAACCCCATGTCATATGGGGAACGTGCCTCTGTACAGCAGCTGAGGAGTAAGGTGTAAGTCTGTGAAGATGGGATTAATCCCAAACCGAGCATACTCTCAAGTAAGCTATAAGCATCACCAAGTCTATGCACTCTAAGGAATGCACTAAGGAGTGAGTTACAAGTGGGGACGTTCGGGCGGAGTCCAGTTTGAAGCATGGCTTGATACCAACCCCATGCCTTCTCCACATTCCCAGATTTTCCCCATAAGTCCACTAGGAGACCATACACAGGCTCATCCGGGACCCAGTTTCTCTGTTTCATTTCGGAGAAAACTGCTTCAGCTTCATCAAGATACCCCAGGTGTCCAAGTGCTTCCATTACTATGCTGTAGGTCACTTTGTCGGGTTCGAACCCTGCACTCTGCAAGTCTCGGTACAGCTTGAGGGCGCTTTCATAATTCCTCGCCTTTGCCTGCAATGCAATCATGATATTGTAGGTCACTAAATTGGGAGTGCATCCATGTTCCACCATTTCATAAAACAGCTTGTCAGCGGAAGCTAAATGACCAGCTTTTCCAAGGCAATTTATCATCACACTATAAGTAAATGTGTCGGGGGCAAGTCCGGCTCCCTGCATCCTTTCATACATATCCATGGCAAAATCGAGATACCCAGCTTTCGCATGTATATCTATGAGGGTGCAGTATGTTACACGATCGGGTTCACATCCATCCTTCTGCATTTGATCGAACACATCAACTGCTTCATTCAGATAATTTGCTCGCCCATAGCTGTGAATAAGGCGGTTATATGTCACAACATTTGGCTGACATCCATCCCTCACCATCTGATCAAGCAATTTGTTGATTGCAGTGAATTGCTTTGCCCGGCCGAGGATACCAACCATGGTTGTGTAAGTATGACCATCATGCTTGAACCCCGGTTTCCTTTTCAACCAATAAAAGAAGCCATGTGCAACAGTGTGATCCTGTAGTTGCTTCAGAACTTGGTTTGCTTGATAAGCATCCATCGAACAATCAAGATTTCCGAGAGCAGCCTCTGCTGCAGGACTCCATCCCAGTTGTCTCAGTATGCTGCAAATATTTTCCACAATACGACCATTGCCTGAGGAATGACGGGCAATAGAAGGCATTGATGCAGGCACCCTAGCATCTTTATATGACTTTCTGTACCCTGAAGAGACAGGCTGCCCCACTTTTGCATCAGGATTATGTACATTGGCATTGAAATTTGGTATGCTCTTATTTGGTTGAGTCCTCGGCCTCTGATTTACAGTCTTCTTCTTGTCATAAGTTTCAGAAGGGGTGTACTTTGTTTCTAATGAACTGGCGGAAGCAGGCTCACCTGCAGAACCTCGTTTGAAGCTTCTAACAGAAGTTGCTCTGTCACCACCTTTACACTTTGCACGGGCAGAGCTGTCACAGGTGCTTGACCCCACCGCTACCTCTGAAGATTTTGAATAAACTTTCGAAAACTGCTCAGCCTTAACAGTTTTCACAGGAACTGACTTTACATTGGAACATGGCCTGGTGGAATCAATCATAGAATTTTGAGGCAAATTTATTCCACTTCCATCTGACATAGGGATCTTGTAATTAACCATATCAGACAGAAAACTAACCGCAGCAATACCAACTTTGACAAATTGGTCGGACATAGGCGGTGAAGAATGTGAAACTCCATTTTCTACGTAAGTTGCACCGTCTGACTTTACAAAGGAACCAGGAGATGAGACAACCTGCGGGAGAGGATTTCTGCCCTTAACATTGTCACCTTTCTTGGAACCCAATAATTTAACTGCGTCTCTTGAGGCTGAAGCTTCTAGCCCTGCTAGGGTTTTGGATGCTAAGGTGGATGCCTTATGGGCAAGCAACCCATTACTCCTTGTGTGCAACCCCTTTGAGTTACAAGTTTCATCTTCAGAACAAGTACATGAACTACCATCTACTGCTCCACAACGTGATCCACTGACAAAGAAGGACCTTGCAGTACTGGAAAGATTACTTAACTGCTTTGCACGGATCATGACTTTAAATTAGAGGACCACCTGCACAAGGAGGAACGACGGTGAGGTCATTATCATAGGTGTTGTGACAAAGCTGGACAGGAAGATTTGATGTAGGCAAGGATTTCAAAATCAGCATTTCACGTCCCTGTTGACAACAATCCTTTACTTATGGCATTCATGGAGACAGTTCCACGGCATGAAATCAGTACAAACAAGTACAGCGACAAGAAAGAAAAAAAGCTACCATTCTGGAATTTTGCGCAGATGAATACCCACTAAAACAATTACCACTTGATAGCAAGATATACGAAGAACAAACTTACCGCTTCAAAGGCACTGTTTATACCACACCCGAAAAGGCTTTTACTCGCAGGTCACCACCAAGGACTCCTTGAAACAGTCCTCTCAAATACATTTAAGACTGTCTATAAAAATACCCCAAACTCTCCAGAACAGCACTAAAACCACCAAATTTTCCAGCTCCAAACAGCAACCGAAGCTGCTGCAGGAACAAACATGCATATATATGATCTGCTACTCCAAATCGCGAGCTTTGATTAACTTCCCGCTCGCTGCTGCCATGACTGTGTATCATATAAGTTCTATTCGAACACACCCAGAAAGGGGGGAAAAGACACAAAAACAATTGTCAAACAGACCATATACTAAACCATATACCAAACGGAAAAGGGAAAAACCTACACATCTCAGGAATGAACAAACGGAGAAGCACTTCCCGTCCTTGGCCAACATCAACCATGAACCAAAACACCACAATGCAGTCCAATAGGCAATAGACACGCCCCCAAATCGACAGTGGGCACACGACTTTAAAGGTACAATCTTTTTTCAAATCAATAGACTAAATCAACGCCAAAGACAGGAAATTTCGCCGGGTATGAACAGAAACTAAGAAGATCACAGCAGAACCCAAGTCGGGGATCAGACGTACGAATAAGCATAACAATGACGAAACAGGGGTGAGGAAAGAGAAAACAGCTGGAACCCCAATGAAGAAGAGAGCTGAGAGTCGAAGCGCGAGAGAATACCTGAAACTGAAATGGGGCCTGAAGTAGCTTCGCGGAGATAAAAGAGGAACCCAGAGAGGGAAGCGAGAAAAGTAGGAAGAAAGAAGGGGCTGGCGGCTGCTAGGCCGTCAGCAGAGGGAGAAGAAGAAGGTGTATTTTTCTCTTCCAGCGGAGTTGGGGGAAGAAGAAGGGAGAAGGGAGGCAACTCCACATAATACTTTTTGTTGGGTTCACGCTCTCGCTCTGTTTCTTTTCTTATTTGCCCTACTTTCCATTCCGACTCGTGTGTGGCTATACGCTGGTGGGCCGACGTGGCATTGTTTGAGTTTCAGACTTGTGAATTACGATATTTTCATTTATTTAATTTAATTGCCCCGAAATTTCCCGTCTTTTGACACCCTCTTTTCCTTATATCAGGGAGGATCATTTTATTTATTGATCTGTCTTGGCGAACAATCCAGCTGATTAATTACAGGAATGATCACCCATTTTCACAATTATTACTAGTGTGATCGCTTGAATTCAATTTTTAACCCACATCAATTTGTTTACATTCTAAACCCCTTAAACCCCTTGAATCGGGTTTGACACTCCTCCAATGGTGAAAACTAACCAAATAATAGAGGCGAGAAAATGACATGTCAATCTCTAGCTGAAGCCCCGCAAACTATTATGCATCTTTCTTTCCATAGGATCTTCATTGCCCAACAACCTAGAGTACCAATTACTCGAACCAAATCACCTCCATCATTTCCCAAGCGACATATCAGAGCAAGCATGTCCTCCTAAGAATTTTGCAAGACCTGAATCAGACCACTAAAAAATAGTATCAAGATTCGAGTTTCTTGGTTTGGGGAACAATTGCTGGTATTCCAATTTCCATCGACCTCAACTTGCAATTGGGTGTTTCGGGGAGGTCTATGGCATCTTTGGAGAAATAATTTGTTCTTGAAGAGGTGGGAAAAAAGATTGCTTCCGGTAACTCTAGAGAAGCCATGTTTGCCTATTCAGGTGAGGATTGCTGGTTCACCAATAGAATGCTTGCTTCCAGAGTGTTTGAGTAAGATTGTGAGTTTGGTGGGCAAATCTTTCCGTATGGATAATGTTGTGATTCCTATAGTCATTGTATTAAATATAGGGATCACCTTGGTTATTTACCCTAACTCCTAGTTGTTTACGTAGAAGGAGTAGGGTTGCTTTGCTTTTGGTATAAAATGGGTTGTAAGGGTGCAACCGCACACTAAGAAGAAACAGAAGGAATAAAATTATCTCTGAGAGCTTCTAGCTCTCCGTGGACTAGTCCTGATCACACCGATCAGGGAAACCACGTAAATAGGTATCGTGTTCTTTTTGCTTTCTGCTTCTTTGGAACTTTACATGGTATCAGAGCTGTGATTGGATCCTAAGGTTTTATCATGAGTTCGGGCGATGAAGGGGATAGCAAGAAGTCGAAGATGGTGATGGGTAGTGATGCCGAAGCACAGGTAACCCTCCCTTCGTACTTGCAACTCGATCGCTCGGATAGCCCTAGCAATCTGTTTGTTGGTGAACTTTTAACGGATGTTAACTATGGAGAGTGGATCCTGGACATGACCGATTCACTCATAGCAAAGAATAAACTTTGCTTCGTTGATGGGAGTCTGCCAATAGCGACTAACCCTATGGAGAGAGAGAGGCTGTTCGACGTTGTAACGCGATGGTAAAAGGCTGGCTTAAGACGTCTATGACCAAAGAAGTACGTAACAGCGTCAGATTTGCCTCCACTGCCCGTGAAATCTGGCTTGACTTGCAGTCAAGGTTCGGCCAAGGGAGTGCGCCTCAGCTCTATGAACTGAAAGGCACCATTAAATCCCTGCGACAAGAGAAGACCTCTGTCTCTCAATTCTATACGAAGTTAAGAGGGTATTGGGATGAAATCGAGTCCCTAACACCGTCCCTCGAATGAACCTGCTCGGGCTGCAGTTGTGATGTCAAGAAGCGCCAACGTGAAGTTCGAGAAGGGGAGCGCCTATTTGATTTCTTGATGGGCTTGAATGACGTCTTCTCCACGGTGAAGTCGCAAATATTGGCGATGCGGCCCATTCCTTCACTCACGGATGCATATCGATTGGTGACCATGGACGAGCAGCAGCGACAAATCGCTAGCAGCCGGCGTCCGCGCCCTGAGGCAGCTGTCTTCCAAGCTCAAGGGGAGCGACGCTTGGAGCGCCCGCAACAAAGATCTGATCGTGATCAAGAGAAAGATAGGGATGGAGACAGCAAGCCTCGTTGTACTCACTGTAGGCGCACTGGCCACCTCAGGGAATCTTGTTACAAGTTGATTGGGTATCCGCCCCGTAATGGAGAGAAGGGGGAGCTGACTCCACCCCCTCGCAAAGCTGATCGCGGGACGCGATCCTCTCCTCATGCAGCTCAAGTGGACGTGGAAGGCAGCCCTTTGCCTGGGCTCTCGACCCAACAATTTGAGCAGCTCAAGCTTCTCTTAAGTGGAGATTTACGACAACTTTCTTCCTCGATTGATCCCACGTCAAACATGGCAGGTACACATTTACCAAATTCCAGTTCTTGGGTCATTGATTCAGGTTGTAATGAACATATCGTTAATTCTGCTTCCTTGTTGGATTCCGAGTTGGATGCGCATCCAACCTTACAGGTCAGAATACCCAATGGGACTGGAGTCCGGGTTCATAGCATTGGGATGACTAAACTATCTAACGACTTATTATTACGTCGTGTTCTTCATGTTCCGGAATTTCAGTGCAACCTGTTATCTGTCAGTAGGCTCACAGCTGATCTTCCAGTTGCATTAATCTTCTTGAATGACTTATGTATTATTCAGGACTTACCCTCCAAGAGGCTGATTGGGATGGGTAAGCATATTGATGGTCTGTACTATCTGAGGCTATTCGCGAATGAACACCCTATGGCACATTCGGTTCGAAGATCCTTGGATGAAACAGAGATGTGGCATTCGCGCCTTAGTCACCCCTCGGAGGCAAAGCTGCGATTGTTGGAGAATTCTCTTGGATGTTCCTTTATTCATAATAAAGAGCCTTGTCGATCTTGTTTGAGGGCTAAACAGACACGTGATTCTTTTGATTCTAGCAGTATTAAGACTGCGTCTTGTTTTGAGCTTATAAACGTGGATATTTGGGGAAGTTATAAGATTGCATCCATGACTGGAGCACACTATTTTCTGACTATAGTCGACGACTTTAGTCGTGTTGTCTGGGTTTTCTTACTTCGATATAAATCAGATACAGCTCGTCACTTATTATATTTCTGTAATATGGTTCACACACAATTTGGAAAGCAGGTGCACCGTATCCAAGCAGACAATGGCCCCGAATTTTCGAGTACTACTCTTACTGATTACTATGAAAAGAACGGGATTATCTTGCAGACTTCCTGCACCGACACGCCTCAGCAGAATGGGGTTGTTGAACGCAAACACAGACATTTGTTGGATACTGCTCGTGCCTTGCGATTCCATGCTAATCTCCCTTTGAAATTCTGGGGAGAGTGTGTCTTAACGGCTGCTTATCTGATCAACAGAATGCCCCTTGTGCCTATTGGAAATAAATCTCCTTTCCAGGTTCTCTTTGACAAAGCACCAAAATACACCCATCTGCGTAGCTTTGGATGCCTGGTTTATGCTCGTGACACTCATCATAACCTGCAGAAGTTTGATGCTCGTGGCAGAGCTGGTGTTTTTCTTGGTTACCCGTCAAATCAGCGTGGCTATCGCGTCTATGATCTTGAGGCGCACATTATTTACACTTCGCGAGATGTCAAATTTTTTGAGAAGGTCTTCCCGTATCGCGACTTGGAGGCTGGTTCGTCTCTCACGCCAGTTATGGTGTCGGCCCCTCAGTTTGGTAGTCAGCCGCCGCCTGTGTTTGATGACCAGGACGAGTTCCTCTTACCTCCTGCCCCATCTTCGTCACCATCTCAAGGAAAACAGCAGCATGAGCATTTCACCTCACTGCCCGACCCTGGTGTCACCGAGCCCCAGTCGCCCGCTTGTGTCGAACCCATTTATGATAAAGCACAAGAGCCTCCTGTGGACAGTGACAATCAGCCAAGTACATCATCTGTTCCTCCCTCGGCGCCAGCTCCTGTCCGCCGAAGTGACCGTCAGCGGTTCCCTTCTACTCGACTTAGCGGGTACGACGTGCAGCTCCCTGGTGCAGCCCATTCCGCGACTGTTACCTACCCCCTTGATGATTATGTGACATATCACCGCTTGTCAGTTGCTCACCATGCTTTCGTCGCAGCGGTGAGTTTGGTTTTTGAACCCTCGCACTTTTTTCAGGTCGTGCAATATAAGCATTGGCGAGAGGCTATGCAGAGGGAATTCGATGCTTTGGTTGCGAATGGCACATGGACCATAGTCTTCCTTCCTCCGGGAAAGAAAGCGATCGATTGCAAATGGGTTTATAAAGTGAAATTTAATCCGGATGGGTCTGTTGAGCGCTTTAAAGCGCGGTTAGTTGCCAAGGGCTACACTCAAGTCGAGGGTGTGGATTATCATGATACCTTTGCTCCTGTAGCCAAGCTCGTTACTGTCCGGTGTCTGCTTGCCGTAGCTGTTGCCCGTGGCTGGCACGTTCACCAGTTGGATGTAAACAATGCATTTCTTCATGGAGATCTCCATGAAGAAGTTTACATGAAAATACCACAGGGTTTTGCTCGTCCGGGGGAGCAGCGAGTATGTCGGTTGCAAAAATCTATTTATGGTTTGAAGCAGGCTTCCAGGAATTGGTACCAAAAGTTTACTCAAGCACTTTTGGAGTTCGATTTTGTACAAAGCCGGGCGGATCATGCCCTCTTTACTTACCAGCGAGGTGACCTCTTTGTTGTCGCCCTCATTTACGTCGATAACGTGATACTTGCAGGTACGGATTTGGGTTTTATCACTCAGGTCAAGGAGTTTCTTCACTCTCGGTTTACCATCAAGGACTTGGGCCCGCTCAAGTATTTTCTCGGGATTGAAGTGGCTCGCTCACCGCGTGGTATGGTTCTTAATCAACGCAAGTATGTGCTCGACATCCTTGCTGACGCTGGTTTGGAGGCTTCAAAACCGTGTTCTACTCCCATTGAGCAACAACACCAGCTTGGTCGCGTGCATTCTCCTCCGGCTAATGACCCCAGCTCCTATCGGCGTCTCATTGGTCGTCTTCTGTATCTCACTGTCACACGTCCAGACATCACGTATGCAGTGAACCTTCTCAGTCAGGCCATGCAGGCGCCTACCAGAGCTCATGAAGAAGCTGAAGTTCGTGTCTTACGCTACCTCAAATCTGCTCCAGGTCGTGGGATTTTTCTTTCCGCAACTAGTCCCCTCACTCTATCAGCATATTGTGATGCTGACTGGGGTGGCTGCCCTCTCACTCGTCGCTCCACGACTGGCTACTTCATCATGTTGGGTTCCTCTCCTATCTCTTGGCGTACCAAGAAGCAAACTGTTGTAGCTCGATCCTCTGTCGAAGCAGAATATCGTGCCATGGCCAGCACAGTCAGTGAAGTGCTTTGGCTCAGGTGGCTCTTTTGTGATCTTGGGGTTCCATTCTCTGCACCAACCCCGTTATTTTGTGACAATCAGGCAGCACTTCACATAGCTTCTAATCCGGTTTTCCATGAACGGACTAAGTATGTAGAGATGAACTGTTATTTCGTTCGGGAACGAGTTCAGTCTGGTGATGTTGCTCCTCTGAAGATTGCCACCTCTGATCAGCCGGCAGACCTATTCACGAAGGGATTAAGTGTTGATCAGTTTCATCATCTCTTCGTCAAGCTTGGACTTCTTGACATTCACTCCTTCGCTTGAGGGGGAGTGTTGTGATTCCTATAGTCATTGTATTAAATATAGGGATCACCTTGGTTATTTACCATAACTCCTAGTTGTTTACGTAGAAGGAGTAGGGTTGCTTTGCTTTTGGTATAAAATGGGTTGTAAGTGCAGCCGCACACTAAGAAGAAACAGAAGGAATAAAATTATCTCTGAGAGCTTCTAGCTCTCCGTGGACTAGTCCTGATCACACCGATCAGGGAAACCACGTAAATCGGTCTCATGTTCTTTTCGCTTTCTGCTTCTTTGGAACTTTACAGATAAAGTTACTAAAACGGGGGGATCAATTATGGTTTGTGAAGTGTTGTGTGGCTATTGGAGTGGATTCTTAGTGCCGTGCTGTGTTGAACTTTGTTCCAGAATGATAGACCAAAATTCTCAACAACGCTAGAATACTTTAATTTACCCCAGTGTGCAAAACTTGTCAATGCTTTGGCCATGATGGTAGTAAGTTGGAGCAACAGGTGAAGAAAGTATGAGTGACTAAGGGGATTAGGACGCTAGCTGAGGTTACAATGGTTCAAGTTGATGAAGTAAGGGAAGTAGAGAAAGGGAATCCTGAAGTTGAGGTTAAGGTATCATCTTCTGCACATAGTCAGGAGATTCCCAGGATAGCTCAGGATGAGAGTGTGGCATCCTTTCCTGCCGTAGCTGAGGAAGTACGAAGAATTCAGGAATATGAAGTAAATATCCCTACTGAAGAGGATTTCCAGGAGGTTATTCAAGGGAGGAATAAGTCCTTATGTGGTTGCTCGTCTAGCCAGGGGGAGATTTTTGGTGGTATCTCATGATGAGAAAGAATGTATGTTGTCCCTAATGACCGAAGAGGGAGAAGTGATTGAGTCTACTTCCATAGTTAAAGCTATAAAGGAAATGGGCAAAGGGGGATGTGGTAAGAAGGTCAGAAAGGGGATCAAGGCTGTCAAAATCAATGATTATTGTAGTTTGGAATATTGGGGTGTCTAATAAAACCACCAAGCAAGTTTATGTAAGTAAGTTTCTACGGCAAAAGAACATTGATATCTTAGCTTTATTGGAGACTAGAGTGGATCAAAGTAAGGTTGCTGATATTTGCAGTGATCACTTTGCAAGCTGGAAATTAAATGACAATTATAAGGATTCAGCTGGGGGTCGTATTTGGATGTTGCATAAGCCTAACCTGGTGGTCAGATATGTGGAATCATGAAGAAATTTTTTGCATTTATAAGTTCAAGGAGGTGTGTAGTGTTATGTTACATCAGTTTAAGGGGCTAATGAGGAAATTGAAAGAAAGAAATTCTTACTGTCGTATGAGATCATTACAAGTAGGTGGGTTTCCATGGATAGTATTAGGGGAATTTTAATGCGATTTTGAAGTCAGAGGAGGCATCTAATGGAACTCCCCCAGCGTCTAGTGGTATGGATTTTCAAAATTGGTTGGGTGATATGAGATTGACAGAGCATAAAACTTTGGGTGAGAAGTTTACTTGGGTTAATAAGCAGGCTAGTAATCCTATTGCGAAAAGGATTGATATAATTTTTGTTAATTGAGCTTGGTTTTCTAAGTTCCCTAGTAGTCTGGCTAATACTATGATACCTAGAACAGTCTCAGATCACTGTGGATTGCTGGTCCATTCTTCCCCTGAGCAAAAATCTCTTCCTAAACCCTTTAAATATTTTACATTTTGGAGTCAGCATCCGAAGTTCAAGGAGATTTTACAAGAGGTATAGGGGACTCAAGTAGCGGGTTATCCTTTCTATAAAGTCTGTCAGAAGCTTAGACTTCTCAAAAGGAAGTTTAAAGAATTGAATAAGGAGTTTTTCTCTGATATTTCTCATAAAATGCGGGAAGTAGAGAAAGAATTAGAGTTTTCTCAAAGGGTTGCTTTATCTACATCTTCCTTCAGATGCTAATTTTGAAAGAGAGGCACAATGTACAAAAAGTGTTCTGAGTTGCGGCGACCAGAAGAGGGCTTTTACAAGCAGAAAGCAAAAGTGCAAGCAATTTTGGAAGGTGATCTTAATATTGCTATTTTCATGAGTATTTGAAAGTAAGAGAACATCGAAATACTATTTCTATGCTTAAGAAAGATGACGGGACTGAGGTCACAGATATTGAGGAAATTTGGGGGGGGGGGGGGGATAAGAATAGAGTTTTGTAAATCTTCGTTGGGCAAGAAAAATGTAGAAGTTAAGGTGGTATTAGTTGCTGAACTTCGTGACTTACTATTCCATCATCTTCCAAATTCTGAGGCAGGGGACCTATGTAATCTCGTATCAGTAGAAGAAATAAAGGAAGTTATGTTTAGTATGAGTCTTAATAAGGCCCCAGGGCTTGATGGTTTTCTTGTAGATTTTTACAGGACTGCTTGGGATGTGGTGGGAGCAGATATGAGTAAGGCAATTAATGGATTCTTTCTTAACAATATTATGCCTAGATAAGTGAATTACACAGTGTTGGCTCTAATCCCTAAAGTAGAACAGGCTTATCAAATGAGGTTGTATAAGCCAATATCTTGTTGTAATGTGCTTACAAGTGCATTACAAAAATATTGGCCAACCGGTTATCTAGAGTTCTCCCTTGTTTGATTAACAAGAACCCTTCAGCTTTTGTACAAGGAAGGAGCATCAGTGACAACATACTATTGGTAGCAGAGTTAGTAAATGGTTATAGCAAGAAGAATATTTCCACCAGGTGTACCATGAAGATTGACTTGATGAAGGCGTTCGATTCGATGGACTGGGATATTTTGCTAAATGTAATGAGTGTTATGGGCCTGCCTGAGAAATTTGTAGGATGGATTTGCTTCGTGTATTGCAACGCTAGTGCTTAATGTGTCAATCAATGGAGGAACATGTGGGTATTTCCCAGCCAAAAAAGGCATGCGCCAAGGTGATCCTCTATCTCATTTTTGTTTACTTTGGCTATGGAGATTTTCAGTTGTATGTTGAAGAGAGATGTTGATTCTGGTACATTACCATATCATCCACGTTGCAAGAACCTAGGGATTACTCATTTGGCTTTTGTTTATGATTTGCTTATTTTTTTGAATGGGACAAAAGATGAAGTAGGGGGTGTGTAATGTGTTAAACCAGTTCTATGTGTTGTATTGGCTCAGATTTAGAGTTAGCTCTTTTGTGCTAGTATGTAGAAGCTAAAAATGAGGAATTAGCTCCCATTGTTGGTTTTCAGAAAGCCTCTTTGCCTGTAAAATATATAGGGGTCCCCTTAATAGGTGGAAAACTAAATGCTCATGATTGTAAGTTTTTTGTGGATAAAGTAACAAAAAGGGTCACTGGCTGGAAACCTCAGCCATTTTATCTTACTGGTCCCTTGAGTTGAGTAGTTAAGTGTTGCATATGACTAATTGATTCGGGCCTAATTGTACACTTTCTACCCCCGTTTTCACTTGACTTTTTTGAAATTTGAACTCCTAAAAAGTTGGTTTTACGCTAGGTTTTGTGTGTTTCAGATCCTAACAGTTGAAACCAACCCCGGAATCGAAAGTTGGAAGAAATGGAGTGAAGACCGGGCAAAGAGGAAGAATCAGCTGCAGTCCATGGCCTGGCATTGGAGTTCACAGCCTCTAAGGCCATGAACTGGAACCACAAACCGTGAACAACGAGGTGTCCAAGAGGGTTCTAGGGGTTACAGACGACCAGGCAGTTCACAGTCTCTAAGACGGTGAACTTTGAGTGAAAACCACAAACCATGGAGAGTGAAGCGGTGCATTTTGGAGATGACACTGAGTTCACAGCCGCGTTTAGGTGTTCACGGCCGTGAAGTGGAAGGCCATGAACTCAGCTCGATCTGGGTTTAAGTGTGGAGCTGAAAGGAAGAAGAGGGGGAGAGACCTAGGGTGAGAAAACTTCTCTTTCTTCTGTTTTTAGAGTGAGAAAGTGACGAACCAAAGAAGATGAAAAACTAGGGTTTGATCTCCAAGCAAGGATTTGGGTTTTCTTTAGCACAAGGAGCAAGGCTTGTCTCTTCATAATGGTTTTCATTTCCCTCTTTTGTGTTTTCCCTTCTCCTAGCATGGAGTAGTCCCTTATTTTATTTGGGTGTTTGTAAACCCTAGATACAATTATGTGAATGCTTGTATGAATTGAATGATTTGTGTGTGGATGTGTTTTAATGTGAATGTGGAGGTATTATTCAGAAATGATTGTGTTGTGTGAAAGCCTATCAATATAATTGCCATTCTAACCTAGTTTAGAGAGAAACCCCCTTAACTTAAGAGCCTCTTCTAGAGATGGGTTTCCTTGGGCATTCTATGCCTCCTAGTCTAGGTTAGTTAGAGGGCAAACCTCCTAATTCGTATTAAACACTTTACACTTAGGGTTTGGTTGTGGGTGGCCGTCTTAACTCCAATTTGAGGGTGAAGTCTAACTAATCCTTAGTCGATAGGTTGAGAGGGTCACATAAGTGGCTTGGATCGTATCCGATTCCTCAACCTAGATTCTAAGAGGGTAACTTTGGTTGCTTGTTAGACTTCCCTGCGATTTATGACCCCTAACCACACACGGTCGTTCGATTCTTCGAGTCGTAGTTGTTAGCTATGGGGAGCAACACCCGGGTGAAGCTTTCTCAACTAGAGTCAAATCCAAAGGTAATTTATTTTTCAATCTTTGTTTTCACCAAAATCGATATGCTAGATAATGTTTCAAATAGTCGAAGTAGCGGTACATGGCCCGGCACGGGTCGATATTTAAACATACTTGCCTATATTGCACCCATCTAAGGTTTATACTTGGACCTTAGGTGGGATTTTATTGTGATAGTTAGAGCGAGTCAAGTTTTTGGCGCCGTTGCCGGGGAACAACGGTCCGTTATCGTGAAAAGTTTGTTATGTGTTAATCTAGCCTTTAATTTCTGTTTTGTTAAGTTGTGAAGTGTTTACTTGTGCTAGACGTGTTGTGTTCCTTGAGTGTGTGTAGGGCGGTGCATGACCCTGAGTAATCCGGAGCCTTTGACACCACAGGACGAGGACATCAACCAGATCCTCTGACTTCTAGCTCGAGAGAGGGAGCAAGCGGAGGCAAGAAGGAGAAGTGAAGAAAGGGGACAACAAGTTGGTCCCGAAGTTGAAGCAATTTAAGAAGGAGTTGTCGTTGAGATGGCAGCACATCGACACCGAGGGGCTAATCCGCTTCCAAACCCAAATGGAGAAGCGGATGCCGAGGAAGGGACAAGGGCTATGGGCTATTACATGGCTCCACGGGCGATGGATTCCAATCTCCAATCTTACATCCACCCGTGGCCCCCAAAAACTTTGAGATCAAGCCCTCTCTCGTGTCGACGATTCAACAAAATGCTTACTTCAACGGGCTATCCCATGAATCACCACGAGAGCATGTCCAAAGGTTTCTTGAGCTGGCGGGAAGCTTGAAGATTAATGGTGTCCCCGAGGAGGCATTGAGATTGAAGCTTTCCCCTATTCTTTGGCAGGGAAGGCACTCTGATGGCTCAAAAACCGTCCGGCTCTATCCATCACCTCTTTGGACAATCTCCTCAACAAGTTCATGACCCGATACTGTCCTCCTTCTAAGACGGCCGAGTGGAGGAAGAAGATCACTCACTTTGAGCAAGAGGAGGATGAAAAATTGAGGGATTGATAGACCATTGATTGCACATGTTTTTACCCCTATTCTTGAGCCATTTGAGATGTTGATTCTCGTGTTTTAAGCCGATTTCACGCTAGGTTGTGCGTTTATATCATATTTCAGGGCTTAGCGTTGGCATCGAGGCGAAGAAACGAGTTTCGGGTCGAAAGGAGCACGTTTGAGTTGAAGTGTGTTGGAGGAGCAAAATACCCGGCCATGGGCATAAATACCCGGTCGGGTATTAATCAGAGCAGACCAGGGAAAACCTGTTTTGGGCGTTTGAGAAGCAGAAGGGGGCCCGGGTATTAAGCATAAATCCCCGGTCGGGTATTCTTGACCTTGATCGGGGATTAATACGCTGTCCTCGATGGTGCGTTTCAACAATCCCCGGCCGGCCACCTAAAATACCCGACCGGGTATTCTGACCGGGGATCACGAACGCAGGCTTTTAAAAGCCTGTTTTGTGCGTTTTTGCAAGGGAGAGCTGGGTTTTGGATCCCAAACACCCAAGGGATGAACCAAAGAGAGAGAGGGCGATTTGAGGGCATTCTTGGAGTCGAACTGGAGGATTCCTTCTCCTTGGAAGCTCGAGGAACAAGCCCATACTTGAAGACTGATCATCTGAAGATTCTTACTGCAGTCTCTCTCTTCTCTATGGAGTAACTTCCCTTCACTTAGGTTTTGAGGAACCCTAGCTATGTTTGTTTGATTGGATGATTGTATGAGTACTCTTACTTGATAATCTTGAGTTCATATTCAATCTATGCATGTTTTCATGATTCAATTCTGCTTTAGTCGAGATTATTGATTCTTCTTTGATCCTATGAGAGCGAATACCTGATTAGGTCAATAGAGCACCATAGATTGATAGTAGTGGATCGATTGCTTTAGTCGAGGGTTGATTCACTACTTTGTATCGATTGAGAACCTCTTTTGATAGAGGGAGTCTAGTTCAGAATGCCTTGATCGGTTGTTCTAGAGAAGGATACGTCCCTCTAGGAAATTGACTCAAGAGGGCCTTGTTCCTTTAGTCGAGACTCAAGGTCTAGTCAAGGATTCTCCACATTGTGAATGAAAGTGAAACAGGTTAGAGATCATCAATCATTAATCTGGCTAGTGTCTAGGAGGAATCATACCTAAGTGAGTTCCCAACCTGTAATTAGATTAACTTTAACTGTAGTTTGTTAGAGTAGTTTTAGTTCTTCCATCTCAATCTGGTTTGCTAGATAATGAACTCAAGCTGAGTAATAGTAACTCTAGAGACCCGTGGATTCGATATTTATTACTTGAGCCACTTTACTGCAGTCCCTTTCATTGGTTACACTTGGCCATTGTTAGAAGTTGTGTCATAGCGAGTCAGGGATGCATGGGAAAGGTTCTCCGACTACTTCCTCCAATGCCCTCACCATGGGTTCGAGGAGCAATTTTTGATAGAAAATTTCTATGGAGGACTCATTCAACATGACAAGATCCCCATTGAATCTTTACGCCAAGGGAGGTTGATGAACATGACCCCTCCTCAAGTCACCGAATTTCTTGAAGATATGGCTCTCAAAGGATATGATTGGGGCTTGACAAGAAGTGGGAAGAAAAGCATTGAAAGAGGAGTAAGCTATATGTCATATGGAGAAAACTAACCATCACATTGCTGGATGAAATGTGATGGTTAGTTTTCTTCATATGACATAATAAAATAACCAAAATCACTTGAGTTTGATATATAAAAATGCCCATTAATGAAAACAAGTTGATATTTGTGGGAATTCCTTAGCTTACCAGCTCTATACACTTGATTATACATGAAATTTACTTTTAGTCTTCTTTTGTATGTTGCTTGCATAGTATCACATACACTATCTCCACTCCCAACCTTTCATGATGACTCTCATAGCTTCATAGAGTCCCATATATGTCGATCAGATATTATGCAAACGTCATTTTGATTGGCCAAACCTTGGTGGCGTCTCATGAACCATAACCAAATATCAGTCTTCTCACTCTCTACTATGGCAAAATGCAATTGTAAATATTTTTTTGTCGTCAAATGAGCTTTTCTTGAGAAGCACTGATTATACTTGTTAGTGAGAAAGGTTCCATCAACAACAATGACTCCTGGATAGTTCTTGAATCTCACTATACAAAGTTCAATGCCACAATACTCACTGGAAGATTAGATGGTCTGGCATCGATCGGTGAACTCTTACCCAACCAATCAATGATGTGGACATTTTTCACTCTAACAACATGCAAGAATGTTTGAAGGTAATCTAAGATTCTTGCCATTTCCATGAAACTTCTATAGTGCCATTTGTTTCCCATACCAAGACTTTTGTAAGTAACTCTCGTATGAAACTTATCTATCAACTCGACTTGCACAGCTAGAACACTCAAATTTGGTTGACCACATATCAAGTACTTCATGGTTTGGTGGGGCAGTTACTAGGAAAGCCGTCGCTAAATGGTGTTATGCAAAGCTGTACGAATCAATTTTGGGGACGATATGGACAGGTAAATGTGTCTTGGTTATGTGATGAGCTCATGCTATTCCAATTACCATCTGAGGTTGCTTGTAATTTGGCTTTTTAGGGAGGCCCCTAACATATATGGGATAACTTGTTGTTCTTAAGATGCTGGGAGATAGGGTTAGGGCTTCGGAATTTGATAACAAGGCTCGTCCTATTTGGATCAAACTCATTGGTTTTTCATTGGAAAAGTTGTCTTAGGATAGCTTGGATAGAGTAGCAAGCTTGATCGGGAAACCACTTTGTATGGAATATCTGACTCGAAGGGGCTTAAAGCTTGGGTATTGACACGCTAAAACACAACACCTAACAATGGCCAAGTGTAACCAATGAAAGGGACTGCAGTATAGTGGCACAAGTAATAAATATCGAATCCACGGGTCCCTAGAGTTACTATTACTCAGCTTCAGTTCATTATCTAGCAAACTAGATTAAGGATTGATTTATAAACTACTCTACTGACTACTCTACTAATTACAAGTTGTGAACTCACTTGGGTATGATTCCCCCTAGCTCCTCAATTAGGTCCAAGTTGAAATTACCTTTGGTTGATCTACTGTTGATTAAACTGCGGAAGATCCGACAGTAGCTTGGAATCTCTTAAGCTGACCAAGCCCTCTCAGTCCAACTACCCGGCAGGCGACTAACCTTCACTGGGATAGAAAGCTGAGGCTGTGTACACAGAACTCCACTACCGGAATTGGATTCCAGTACAAAGCAGTAGATTGACTAACTCTCGTATAACCAATTCACCACCATCAATCAAGGAAGCTCTCTTAACCTAATCAGATTCTATCTATCATAGGTTAAAGCAGAAATCAAGAGAATTTGATCAAGATTCAATTGACTCAATAAATCATGCCTCAATCGATTATAATCAAACAATATAGCATCCAAAACTTCATACAAGAAAGATCCTAACACATGGAACTAGGGTTCCTCAAAACCTAAGTGAAGGGAAGTTACTCCATAGAGAAGAGAGAGACTGCAGAAATCTGATCTAGATCTTCAATCTCCATCTCCAATCTTGATTCCCGAGCTCCAATGGTGAAGAAATCCTCCAAAATAGCTCCAAGAATGTTCCCAAGTCGCTCTCTCTCTCTAGGGTTCGTCCCTTGGGTGTTTGGGAACCAAAAACCCAGCTCCCCCCTTTCCTTTGGCTGAAAATCGAGTTTTAAACAGAAATTCCCGATCACGCGGCCAGGCCACACGGCCGTGGCTTTCCCAGCTGCCCGTGTGAGGGCTCGGTGATTTCCACACGGCCGTGTGGATCTTGCCCGTGTGGCTTGCTCAGACTCTGTTTAATGCTTCGTTTCTCCCTCGTCCGGACTCCGAATCAGTCGTCGTTTGATCCCAGACGCTCGTAGTCTCGTCCTCTTTCTTTTCATGACAAAATTATATGATTATTTGTCCATAGTATGAGGTAGAAGTCCATTATTCCTCAGGTCATGCTCATGTTTCTTCTCCCGAATTGCCAAATGATCTCCGATTGACTTGAAACTTGCGCCTATGCTTCAATTCACATGCTAGGACCTGAAATGTGACAAAGGAACACAACATAGCATAAAATAGGCCAAAGAAGCAATAATGCAAGCTTAAACGATCAAGAAACAAAGGGGAAAACATGTGCAAATATCGAGTCATCAAATCCCCCCACGCTTAACCGTTTGCTTGTCCCCAAGCAAACCTAACTCAAACCAATGCAGCTCTCCAGACCTCTATAGCAACAAACAACCCCGATCGTCGGTAGAGGATTTTCTAGATCAAATAGCAGCTTATGAGGTTAACTGGTCGTCTAAGACGTTCCCTATCTCTCTCAATGCGAGTACTAGACTCAAGCCAGGAACATGAGAAGAAGTAGAAGTAAGACAGTCAATTCATGGACAAAGGGACTCACACCATTCACAACCAAGGACTCGTTGTACCGGGGTGCTCTTTCACTTCATTTCACCGTTGGAACCCCTTTTTGCACTTTCATTTACATTTCTTTTTCTCTTTTTTTCTTCATTCACTTGGCGGAGGTTCCAACTGCAGTCTTTTGCACGGTCGACCCTTATTAGTCGATTCAAAGCATACTGAGCAGGCAATTTGCAAGGAAACACGTACTTGGAGCCCTCAAATTTAAAAATTTGGACAGTGGACTAGGCTCCAAGCACACAAACAGCCAAACATTCACCCGCATACATAATCGAACACCACACTTAAGCACGACATTGTCCTCAATGGAGGAAAGATAAGGAGGGTAGAACGAAGTTACCAGATCAAGGGTGAATGATGATGGACGGGTCAGGCGGTGCATTCCACGAAGAGAGAGTAATCAGAACACAAACAATACACAAAATCTCACAAAGGTTGAGTTATTGACTCTAAAATCAAATAACAAAACTGACTCAATAGAGAAAGAAATGCAAACCGACTGGTTGGGTTGCCTCCCAACAAGCGCTTCTTTCACGTCGTGAGCCAGAAGATGGCTCCTAAGTTTCGGTCCATGCTAGAACCTCCTTGAAGTTGAGGTTCTCGTCAATGAGGTGGAGTCGCAAGTCACGAGCATGTGGTATGACTGGTGATGGAAGCTCGTGCACTTGATGCAGATGAATTCTCCATCCTCGAGACCTCTTCTTCTCTTCTCTCGTCCCATTGCCCCAAAGCAGATATGACAGCATTGATTGGCCACCATCGCGTCCACCAAGAGGGACCGATGTCAATGTGGCCTTGGTCTGGCAAAGAGACATTGCAAATGGGTCCTTGCTAAGCAGTTCCTCGAAGTTTGGTGGGGATATTACTTGTATTATAGGGCCGGTGCAAGCCTCTTCCACCTCAACTTCATCCTCAGCCTGGACACCACTCGCTTCTTCAACCCCCCTTCCTTCTTCAAAATATGGTCTCTCTCCTCGGAAAAGATCAAGAACTACCTCTTCTTTGCTTTCTTCCACATCCTCCACAACTTCTTTCCTCACCCTTTCTCTCTCTCTTCTTCTTCCATAACTGATTGGAGAGCAAGTCGCCATGCAAGGTTCTCAATAAGTTCAGCTTGCATCTCCTCGCTCGGGCCCAACATGTCAGAGCAGAAATGGGGAAAGTTGTGATCTACAACCAGAGGACTTTCCTGATCATGATTATCATGGGAGTTCTCTGTGATAACTTCTGTATGCTCCTCAACATCCCCGTAGCCTTTGTCATCCTTCACCTCTTCTAGCGTGGTAGCAGAAATGTGATCTTGAGCAAGATGTGAGCAAACTTGCTCCACCCACTCTATTTACTTCGCTGAGCGCTGAACAGTCTCCTCCATTTCATGGAGAAATGAGGGATCGGAAGGGGCAAGGGATTTGATTTGAAGATTCAGTGTCTCAAGCAAACTGCTCCACGAGAAGCCTTAATTGTTTGTTCGGATCTTCTAGTGAAGTGTAGCATGGCTCTGCAGAGTGGCCCGTGAAGGCCTCCATGGCTAACTCCAGCTTTGATGGCCCTTCTGGTTGTGGGAGAAAGTCTTCTTGGTAATGAGGTTGTTCTTGATATGCCCAGGGGTCTGATTGTTCTCCGTGGTAAGGGCGTTGGTACTGGAACCCGAATCCATAGTCTTCTCCTCCTTGATTGCTCCAAGGGGTTTCGGGGTAATACCACTCGGATGGTGGTGGATACCCCCAACGGTTGGAGAAGCCATGAGGATCCATGATTCAGATCTGCACCAACAAAAACAAAAAACACCCAAGTGAAAAGCAAGGGTGGAAAAGAAAAACGCTAAAGTAACAAACTTCTTCCTTTCCTAATAATCTAGAAAGTCCCCGGCAACGGCGCCAAAAACTTGACACGCTAAAACACAACACCTAACAATGGCCAAGTGTAACCAATGAAATGGACTGCAGTATAGTGGCACAAGTAATAAATATCGAATCCACGGGTCCCTAGAGTTACTATTACTCAGCTTCAGTTCATTATCTAGCAAACTAGATTAAGGATTGATTTATAAACTACTCTACTGACTACTCTACTAATTACAAGTTGTGAACTCACTTGGGTATGATTCCCCCTAGCTCCTCAATTAGGTCCAAGTTGAAATTACCTTTGGTTGATCTACTGTTGATTAAACTGCGGAAGATCCGACAGTAGCTTGGAATCTCTTAAGCTGACCAAGCCCTCTCAGTCCAACTACCCGGCAGGCGACTAACCTTCACTGGGATAGAAAGCTGAGGCTATGTACACAGAACTCCACTACCGGAATTGGATTCCAGTACA